AAAAATAAATATAAATATAAAATTTCTTAACTTCAAAAACAATTGAAAACTGCGCAAAAATAAAGATGTACAACAGACAAATAATGGGTTCAATAAATCAAGCAGTAAACACATGCGTGTGTATATGTTTATGTCTGATTGTAACTCTGGAAACCATATGTTTTTCTAACGTTTTGTCCTTTATATATTGATTACATTAGTTTAAAACCAGAAGTCTCTGACGAGACTGTAGTTCTACTGATTGTACCTATAAAGGAAGATCAATGTAGCACTTGGGCTTGAAACTTTGCAACAGCAATAAATAGAATAATGATCCTTGGTTTAGTCTCTTTTGTGGCAAGATTTATTGCAATCAGACTAAAACTGTAGGAGGAGTGCCTTTTAAAACAATTTTACAGAAATTTCTATTTAAGTAGCCATGGCAACATCATTCAACAAAATCAAAAAACAATAACGAAAATTATGTGTCTCAGTGTATCCTACTTATATGCCAAATTATACTGAAATCAGACAAAAAGTGTAGGAGGAGTAGCGTTATGAAAGTATCGAAATATAATACTGGTAAAGAGAATTATGTATCTTAGTGTAGTCTACTTGTGTGCCAAGTAATACTGAAATCAGACCAAAACTGTAGGAGGCGTAGCATTTTGAAAGTATTTCAGGGAAATTTCTATCTTTAGTAACCATGGCAACGCCGTTCATCGAAATCAAGAACCGATACAAAGAATTATGTATCTTAGTGTACTCTACTTGTGTGCCAAGATATATTGCAATCAGATCAAAACTAAAGGAGGAGTAGCGTTTTTGAAAGTATTTCCAAGAAATCTCTATTTTTAGTAACCATGGTAACACCGTTCATCGAAATCAAAACCCGATATAAAGAATTATGTATCTTAGTGTAGTCTACTTGTGTGCCAAGTTATATTGAAATCACACCAAAACTGTAGGAGGAGTAGCATTTTCAAGCCTGCTAATCGATCAGTTGCATAACCAGCAGTTATGTATAATAATCAAGAGATCGATTTCAGGTTATGCATTTGATAAGAATAATTTCAATACGCAGATGGTAAGTTGACCCGATGCAGGCAAAAATTGAAATTTTAATTAAAATATAAGAATGTGATTCCATGAGCAATTTATTTTTCATTTATTTAACACCCTTATAAAATGCAAGGATTGTCGATTAACGACGATATTTGTTTGAAACGAGGGCTGGTAGAGCGAAAACGCTGATTGAAAACAGTATTTGCCGACTGGAATTCGTGTTAATCTCAACTAACCTTAAATATTCAATGTTCACCATTAGTTTGCATCAATTACATCTTATCCACCCAAATTTGGACTTTGATATGTGTATTATTAAGCAAATATTCGAGGTAAATAATGTTGCCTATGCATGCGATACTTCAGTTGTGAAAGCAATTTCGGGTTGTGCATGCGATAGAGGACAAAAAGTTTCAAACTTCATGATTAAAATTAAACATAATGTAATTATAACGTAGTCTTCAATTTCAAAAACTAAAAGTATAGGATTCTCCTGCAAACAAGTTGATATTTTTTTTAAAAAGATCTGTTAATTGTTGAAGTAAATCTGGGGGGGGGGGGGGGTGGTTCAGTGACAATCGGTACAAACTATTTTAGAAATAATTGCACTAACATTCTCTATGTGTGAATTATTTACATCACATTATTGTGTGTGTATTTTTTAGTTTTAAAACCCAAGGCATCGTTAACAGGCCAACGGTTTCAAAAGTGGGGGGGGGGGGTTCAACTTTCCCAAAAAAATCTGACAAGCAAAAGAAAAAGAAAAAAAAACCTAAACTGACCAAAAGTGGGGACCTACTTCACAAATTTATCTGACAAGCAAAAAAAAAAAATGTCGTCCAAATCCTGGAATTTGCCAGTGCTCGACCTCACATCAAAAAAAAAGGGGGGGGGGGCAGCACATTTAAAGGAAAATTTACTATAGCAAATTTCTATCCACAGAAAAAGATCCCCCCCCCCCCCCTGCGTTCTGGGTAGGTTAAAATTTATTTGGTGGAAAATTCATTAGATTTATGTTTTGTCTAAAAATGGAACAGACGTTTTGTTCGGACAAAATATCCTACATCCACAACAGTGTAAAATCAATTTTGCTTTTCCTGGCGAAAATATTCTATAAGGAATATATCTCATAGGTGAAGCATTTCCTTATGTTCAGAAGCCGGGTATACTGAATTCTGTTATCGAGCTGGAAAAGGCACAAGATGACAACGCCTCATCTTACATTCTCATGTTTGATGGTAAAAAAGTAAAGCGTGGTGGTGATGTCAATCCATTAGGATATGCAGATCGTCCATTACACGAAAAGAAGCAAGAGAAAGAAAATGGTTTGCACACCATAAAATCGGTTATAGATGCATATTGCTATAGTGTATAATAAGAAGTTCAAATTATGAAGAAGCGTAAAAAAATGAATTAATTGCAATCAGAGTCAGTGAAATTGTAGGAAAGAATATTTTACCAATATTTGTTTGGTTTTATAATTCACAAGCCTCAATTCATACATCATTAGTTAATGTATAAAGAGATTGTAAGAGTAATTTCCATTTCGGGGGAGGGGGGGGGGTATCAACAACAACATTTAATTTACCGTATATCAAATATTTTTTTAAAATATTTTTGCGATCAGTTTGAGATCGCAAAAAATTAAACATGCAAAAATATACATATGTATATATCCACTAAATGTACTAAGAATTTTTTTCAAAGTCGCAGAAATTGGCTAAAGCATATAAAAAGTTTGTGACACGCGAGAAAAAGGAAATACTTTAATATATGTTAATACCTAATAAAAGAAATAATCTTTACTAGCGTAAGTATTTAAAAAAAAAAACCCATAAAATCAATATCCTTTAAATAACGTTTGATAATTTCATAAATGATTAAACGTACTAGTATTTAAAACTATTGAATATAAAGCAATGCAGTGATGTTTTCCTTCTCTGGCATAAAAAAATCAGCATGTGCCTGCAAATATGATGCAACGTCTTCATATTACAGCCAATATTTAAAATTTGATAATCATTACCAAGAGTAAAAATAGTATAAGAAGTGAATTATGGAGATCGTATAAAACTTCTGAAACTTTTTTGTCCTTTATCTCATGCATAACCCGAAATCTCTTTCACAACTGAAGTATCGCATGCATAGGCCACATTATTTACCTCGAATATTTGCCAAATAATACACATATCAAAGTCCAAAGAGGTAGGTACGGTAGTCATATTACGAAGGCCCAAGGATTTCCCAATTATAATAATGCATCAATCCCAAAAAATATTCTCATACAAAGAAAATTAACTGCTTATAGATACCATATTTGCATAATAAAATTTTTGAAACTCGCCACAGCAAAGTGCAGAGCAGGCTGAATATTCCGTTTTTTCCGGAAATACCAATTTTCAACACAAATTTCATCATGAAATCGTAAAATTAAGATAGTGAACAGTCCTCGAGCAAAATTAAATGTCGATTTTCTAATTTCTTCTTAAACGAAACAAAATTTTATTTGCTCTTTGTGTTGCTCGAGGCATGTTCAGACCCTTTATTTTGATATTTTCGACGATTTCCGGTGGCGGATTCAGGAATATACCAGGGCACGTAGGTGTTTGTAGCTTAAGACTTTTGTACACTGGCGACTGTTTTCATGATGGATACAACACAGAAGCGTCGAACATAAGGTAAGATATATTTTTGCAACTTTTTGAAAATTAATAAAAGATTTAATAAGCCTGAACGACGAAGTTAACAATAAAAAGAATGGACTGATACCCTCACAAGTTAGGCATAGAAACGTACCAATGCTCGCTTACATATTTGCGAGAATAACTCAAAATATTAATATTTTTTAACATAATGACCCTAAAATTTGGATTGTAAAGTGAATAAATAAAAACTGTTACTCTACACTGTCGTCTGCATTGAAAGCGATCTAGCATGCATCGCCCTTTTGTCGTATAAAATAATATCATTTAGTATTTTTATACATATATCTAGTTTGAATCTACGTTAAGTATAATTTTGTACTTGTAAGACTACTTTGGTTAGAGACAAAGACCATTATTACACTATTTGTAAACAAATTAGATATACAATATTTTCCTTTCATAATAACAAATACATCTTTAAAGCGATCTAAATTGTGTGTGTCGGCGATAGCGTAGTGGTTAGAGCGTCCATACCTTTACACTACGCGTCATAAGGAAAGGGTTCAAACCCTTGTCGTGTAGCTTGATTTTTTTTTTTTTTTTTTCAATTTACAAACATATTTAGACTTAGAGAATTTTAAACTAAAAGTAGTAAATACCTAAATATATTACACATGGAATGTCAACACAGACACAAAGGGATGAAACACCCCCCTTTTTTTAAAATATATTTTTTATATTGGATCAACAACACAGGTTTCCGTATTCATGCTTTCTGATATGCATTATAAGTTTAATGTTATCAAATTTAACTGATTGCAGATTGAAAAGAGAGGGTTACATTAACACTAATATATAAATATATCCATCTACTCTAGAAAGCAATAGGAAAAATGTATATCATTGATCCGCAATCCTAATATAAAATGATTTAAAAAATAAAAAAAGGTGGGGTCCATGCTGCAAATGTGCAGAGTTATTGAAATACCTGTAGATCAATCTCTGGTTAGATAGTCAATTTGATCAGGACTGAGAAAATATTACAACGTATTACAAAATTCCGTCAATGTCAGTCAATCAAAAACGCGAAGCTACATTAAAAGATTTAGTAAAGGGTGAATTTCTTAAAATGTTGGAGTTTTATGAAATACTAATTTTACAATATCTCTCGAAAAAACACTTTAAAAATACATTATGCATTATGAATTTCATGCATTTTATTTATTTTTTTATATGAAGATTAATTTACATGAATGCAGTTTATGTTTTATAATTATATTTTATATTTATTTCAGTACAAATCATGGATCGAAATATTTATTGCATCCTTTGTCGCCATCGTCACAAAGCCCAAGGCAGGAGAAAGGTGAACGAAATAACGAAAAAGACTTTGCAGAAATATTTCTGTGTTTATGATATATCTGAATCCTCAGTTATATGCAACAAGTGCTCACACATCTGTTACAAAAAACGGAATGAGACCACTAAGACTGATAAACAGTGTGATGAAGACGAGTACCAACCCCCTCCTAAAGTTACAAGATCTCTACCAGATAGAAGTCCTCCGTCAGTCAGGTTAGCTATTCCAAGCACAAGCACAGGCCACTCGTATTGTTTCGTTTGCAAAAGACCTGGACCAAAATTGCAGGTGGCCTCTACATATACGCGATTTAGAGCATACGTTCAAGGAGAGATATTTATTCCCCCCGGGTCTCGGTGTTGCCCTGTCCACCTTGAAAAAGACCAACTCTCAGCTGAAACGATTGAGAAAATCAGAACATCAAAAAATTCAAGTTACTTAAATAGGTCTTCAGTTCTGGAGCTGTTACAACAGGCGAGGGAAGAGGTTTTGAGGAAAGAGGGTTCAAGACTGGACTTTGATGATCCGTCTAGTCTAGCTGACACTGATTATTACAATCTGACCGGACTTAGCAGAGTACAATTTGACGACTTGATGTGCGGGGTGCATAACATACGGGCAACACAAACTAGGTCCATCCGCACATGCATTGCAATTCTCCTGATGAAGCTGAAATCGGGCTTGGACAATCAGATGCTAGCTACGCTGTTTAATATGACTAAATTCCAGGTATAAACAGTATTATTTTATGTATAGTTCTGTATAGCTTATGTATGTATTTGACATTCAGTATATTTAAAATGCAACTAACCACTCTTCTCTTCAGAAATATGAAAAAATCAATGGCATTTTTGCTTTGACTACCAAACTGCCAAACCATGTTCATTTAAATGCTCTTTATTTAATATACAGATACGAAGAGCCGTGCATTCCGCTAGACGAGCATTGATGAAGGACTTCGTTCCCCGAAATCTGGGATTTGCACACATCACAAGAAATGATATCATTGACAGTCACACAAGACCACTTGCCCAACAGATGTTCTCTACTGTAGGATCGACACCTGCCATATTAGTCCTAGATGGCACGTATATTTATATACAGAAGAGTGGGAATTATACATTTAGCAGGAGATCATACAGTATGCACAAGCATCGCCCGCTCTTGAAACCCATGATGATTGTTTCGACAACAGGGTACATCGTTTCAGTCTTTGGACCCTATCTTGCAGATCCCAGAAATAATGATGCCTTAATTCTAAATCACTCTGTTAAATCAAATACAGAAGAAATGAAATCTTGGATAAGGGAAGATGATGTTTTTGTTGTCGACAGGGGTTTTAGAGACTCTGAGGACATGCTGACAGATTTGGGAATAAAGGTCGAAATGCCTGCTTTTCTTCAAAAAGGAAAGAGACAACTTACTACAGAGGAGGCAAACTGTTCTCGACTTGTGACGAAGGTAATGCTCCTAAACAATCGAAAAAGCATATACCTACACAAAATTATAAATATATTCCTGTAGTATATATATTATGTATTTTGGGTTTATTTTTCACTTAAAGATTATATTTTAGGAAGTTATTAAGAAAATAATGATAATAAATAAAAATAAGCTTTTTCTACAGTTATTTGATAAGAATTTTGCTTTTTATTATATTTCAGGTTAGGTGGGTGGTGGAGTCAGTTAATGGGAGGATTAAGACATGGAAATATCTCGGGAAGACTTTACCAAACACTCAAATCCCATATATCGGGGACTACCTACGAATTGTTTGCAGTATTTGTAACAAATACCGACCTCCTATTAATACAGGCACTTTTGAAGACGATCTTGCTATAGCTACTAAGATGACTATGTTGGCAAAGCAATCAAATGAACTTCAGTCGTTTGTGCAGGAAAATGGTTTGTGATTTCAGAAACCAATCATCATTACAATGTAGCAATATAGTTTAATTCTTGAATTCTAGTAATATAATATTATATATATATATATATATATATATATATATATATATATATATATATATATATATATATATATATATAATATTAAAGTATATACCATGCTATAAAATATATAATAAATATAAAATTGTGCATCCTTGTACATTGCTCTTAGGATTAAATTTTATTTAATGATCAGATATAATGTTTAGATAATGTTTAGGGTCATTTTTTTTCTTGCTCCATTAAAATCTAATAAGCTACATGTATTCCAGGTCTGGATAAACGGTCTATGAAGTGGCAGAAGTTAGATGCAGAAGAAACTAGTACATGCATTACATTTCCTAAACTCACGGAAGACGAAATCAGAGAGCTAACGATTGGCGTGTATCAGCTAAAAACAGCAAAATCTTACTCATCGGAGCATTTTACAGACGATGGATCATTTGAAGTTCTTGTCAGCAATGAGATTCCTAACATCATTAGTGCTAGAATCCAAAGCCGCCATGTTAGTTCTAAAAAGTACAGTCTTTGGGTAAAATATGACACTTCAATCCTCTCATGGTATTGTACTTGTAAAAATGGAGCCCGTGTAGTAGGCATGTGTGGGCATATTGCTTGTGTTATTTGGTTTTTATCGTATGCCAGGCATCAAAAAGAAGAAGTCCGTGAATTTGGAGTTCGAGACTGGACAGAATTGGTAGAAGATGCGGCTAGAACTGTTGACTTTTCTGACAGTGAAGATGAGGTTCTAGTGGAGAATCAGGAGGAGTAGACTGTATATAACTGGTTTGAATCATTGCATGTTATTTTACTGTTTAAAGACTGTTAAAGGGGCCTACGCACAGTTATATTAATTACAATTTTAATTTCTATCTTAATCTAAAAAAATAACAGTTTTATGAAATGAACTTACTTGAATAGCAACAATATCATTTGTCAAGAAAAATATGTTTAAAGTGTGTCCAAAGAAGTAGTATCACTATATTTAAAATTTTTGAAAACAAAATTGACTCGTTCTGAAATATGTTCTGGTATTTTAGTGAATTTGTGAATTGGTTACCATGGCAACCATGTCATTTATTAAAAAAATGTTAAGAGTTTGTTGTAAGTAGTAGTATCACTGTATTTATAATTTAGAATAAAATTTTGCCATGTATCATAAACAGTACCAATAAATGTATGTATCAATGTTCATAGTAGATGGAAAAAAAATGAAATTTTGAAGAAAAGTGAAAAATGGTGAATAAAGGATCCCATTTTTGATGCCTTGTGGTGCTTTATAGAATGCAGCTGCAAATGAAATTTTATTATTTTATTATTTTACATATACATACATATATATAGGCTAATTATTAGAGATTTTGCAGATTAGGCCGATTTTGACATATACCATACTTTCTTCTTTGGGTGGATAAGATGTAATTGATGCAAACTAATGGTGAACATTGAATATTTAAGGTTAGTTGAGATTAACACGAATTCCAGTCGGCAAATACTGTTTTCAATCAGCGTTTTCGCTCTACCAGCCCTTGTTTCAAAACAAATATCGTCGTTAATCGACAATCCTTGCATTTTATAAGGGTATAAAATAAAAGAAAAATAAATTGCTCATGGAATCACATTCTTATATTTTTATTAAAATTTCAACTATTGCCTGCATCGGGTCATCTGTGTATTGAAATTACTCGTATCAAATGCATAACTGGAAATCGATCTCTTTTGATTATTATAAATAACTGCTGGTTATGCAACTGATCGATTAGCAGACGTGATTTTGAAAGTATTTCCAAGAAATCTCTATTTTTAGTAATCATGGCAACACCGTACATTGAAATCAAAAACTGATATAAAGAATCATGTATCTTAGTATAGTCTACATGTGTGCCAACATATATTGATATCAGACTAAAACTCTAGGAGGAGTAGGGTTTTGAAAGTATTTCCAAGAAATCTCTATTTTTAGTAACCATGGCAAACATCGTTCATTGAAATCAAAAACCAATACACAGAATTATGTATCTAAGTGTCTACTTATGTGCCAAGTTATATTAAAATCAGACCAAAACTGTAGGAGTAGTAGCATTTTGAAAAATTGCTTACGGACGGACGACGGACACCTTACTATCGCATAAGCTCTTCTGGTCTCTGACCAATAGACCTAAAAATAAACATTAACATACTAATTCCACAAGTGATACAATTGAAATTGCATTGGGGTAAACTATTGCACCTTCGAAAAGTCATGGATTTTTGGAAAAACCCATTGTATGAGTGTTTCACCAGTATCAATTCTTGGTAACGCTGTTTTTTATTTTCATGTCCCTGATTGAGGGTATTCCGTCCCTAATAGCAACAGATTCAATGAAATTGAAGATGTGTAGGGGTTGAATACTTGGTATATTTAGACGTTATTCCCATTTATTACTATTAGCATGTAATGGTGGGATGTGTTCTAATTTATGACCTTGAATTTTGGTAAGAGTTATCTCCCTCTGATTTTAATTAATAAAAAATCAATTCTAAAAACTTATCTGGTAAAAAAAAAAAATTGTCATTCTATTTCTAATGTTTTAATGCATCTTTCCACCACAGTATTTTTTGATATTCTTATTATAGACTTCAATGCAATTTTTGTTAATTAATTACTGATTAGTTAATTACATTTTTGAAACTTTCTCTTAGTAAATCGTTTTGTACTGTAAAATACTTTAAATTAATATCATAGTATTATGTATGTGATGGACATTTAGGGATAGAGAATTTGGTCCTATTAGGGATGGAAAACCTTGAAAAGCGTGGGTAGAGGTGGCGTTTGTAACACTTGGGGGTACCCATCTCTTATCCGCAAATGCTATAGCTATGAACGAAACTTGATGAGACTTTCACAGGATCTTTATTGCACAGTGCCATTGGACACCTCCTTTTTTACAATTTCGAGCAGATATTTGGGGTTTCTCACAGCAAAACCTTAACACTGCCATTCTTTCTATAACATTGAGGGTACTCATCTCTTATCCGCAACTCCCCTAATTATATAGCACCTTCTATTTTTCGTTTCGGTTGAACAGAAATTTGAGGTTTTCCATAGCAAAAATGGATTTTGCCATTTCATAAGGGGGGGGGGGGGGGGCGGTGTTATCAGTTTGTTAGCTCAGTTCTCACGGTACTTCTATTTTACTACACCTGGTAAAACTAGGGAGTTTTCTCACATCTGGAAAAAAAATTTTGCCCGAAAAATTTGCAGTTGATTATAACGTCATGGTAATAAAGAGCTGATTCTGACGACATTGTATACGAACCGCTAGCTTGTTGCTCACATCAAGAAAACCTTACCGTAATACACACATCATAGAGCAATCTACTGAATGGAAAAACCACTTTATATAAACTTAATTGGTTTCAAGAAGGCCTTTGATAGTATCCATAGAGACACACTTTGGAATATTTTAAGAGGCTACGGAGTGCCAGAAATATTTTTTTACCCTCATCAAGTGCTTCTATACACAGTTTGAATGCTCAGTCACGCTCACCAATAAAGAGACAGACTGGTTTTCAGTCAAATCAGGAGTCAGAAAGGGATGCATCATCGCTCCCATCTTATTCTTGGTTGCCATTTGGTTATGAAAAAAACAACAGGTGATTGTAAACGAGGTATAACATGATCCATTTTCTTCACCTTAGAGGACCTCGACTTTGCTGATGATATGGCTCTTCCGTCATCTCCGCAGACAAGACCACATGCAAGTAAAATCACAAAGACTCAGCCACTCTGCCAGTCAAATCGGTCTGCAACTCAACACCAAGAAAACTGAAGAAATGAGGTGCAATACATCTTCCCAAAATGAAATAGAGCTAGATGGAAATGAAATTAAACAAGTTGATAAATTTTTCTACCTAGGGGCAGTAGTTAGTACTGAAGATCCAACTCAAAAAGATATCAAGAACAGACTAGCAAAAGCAAGAACGGCCTTCTACAAATTTGAGCATCTTGAATATATATAAACTGTCTTTGACTGGCATGAAAATGAATAACCTGACCCGATAAATTTTCCCCCTCTCTGAATCAAAGGTTCCTCCCCATTACTGGCACTGATGCCCCGCTTCTTATCCGAATCTCAAGACTGAAATTTACCCTCGTTATATAGCAAGTTGTTAAGATTTTGTTTACAGACATTGATCACGAAGTTTACACTTTCGGAAACTTGATAGAAAACTCGGTGGTCAGCATACAGGATGAATTTGATCAAGTCCAAAAATAGGTAGATTTAAAAAAAAAAATCTTAAACAGTACCTTGACAATTTGTGTGAACCGTGCATGGGAAAATACGAGAGGGTATCTATGCTTGTTGAGGATTTAGTCTATGGATATCATGCTTATCATGGCAGTATTAATAGAGCTTTGACCGAAGCGAATAATGTGTTGAATGTCTGTAAAACCTTGTTTGGAAAAACAGTTTAAAATTATTTAAATGTAACAACTCAAAACAAGACGCCCCGGCATAAATTGACAATGTTGATTACATAAAATGCGTCTGAAAGTCTTATGGATGAACTGAAAATGAAAGGTTCATTTAAATGGACAAACTATTTCAAGTGGGAAATCATGTAAGGCAAGGTTTTATTTTCAAAAAAAGAAAAAAAGGGGGGGGGGGAAAAAGATTTTTAACAACCTAATTAGACAACAGAACTATTAGCTATTTCGTTTGAAAAATATTTTTACATAATTGAAAAACAGAACTGTTTACCATTTCTGAACGGGTACTTCGTAAATATCCGTACGTATATCGACTTCACGACTTGATGAAAAGGAAGGCATATTTTACAAGAACTAGAACAAGTCATGAAAAACAAAAGAAACTAGTGTGTATTGTTTTTTTTTTTTTAATATAAAAAAACACATTTCTCCCCTTCTTTACCAGCATTAACGAGTGCAATAATACGACCAGGATCAAAAATAACTAGATATCCTGCATCCATTGTATTTCTTCCGAGTCATTAGCAAAGATATGCTGCATAATTTTTGCGTTATTGTTACTATTGTCAGCCAAGTATGGATCCATTACACTCAAAAATTTCCTGTAGTCCCCACAAAAACTATGGGTTTTATGAGGTCTATGTTTATGTAGGCTATATGATCTCCTCTGAAAAGAGAACTGGTTACTGGTAGGTACCATCTATGACAAGCATTGCTGGCAAATGGTCTCCAAAATAATTTTGCGCTAAAGGACGGGTATGATCTTGGATAACTTGTTCTCGTGTGGCATGATGGAAACCAATATTAGAAGGAACAAATGTCTGTTTCAAGTTTTTTTTCTGACTGATGATATGGTTCGTCTTATAGAATCCTTTGAAATACTGAATTTGGTTGATAAAAGTTTGTTAGACATTCCATTTTTCATTTTTGTAAGAAAAATACCTAAGCATGTTCTTTTGCTTCTAACTGGTGGGTCACGAACTACAGTTAAATAAGAAAGCAGATTTTGAAATGACACTTTATCCAGTCCTGTCAAATTCCTTAAGTCAAAATCACTCATCAATCTGTCAAACTTTATTCTCTCATTGCCAGTTTGCACTAGGTTTTCCCTGATTTTCTGTAGAAGATGCATAATATCAGTTCTATTGTCATCTGTTTGTCTTTCTAAAGTTACTCATGAGATTTGAAGCCTCCTCTGTAAAAGAATCTCTGTCAATGTGGACTGGGCAACATCTTGATCCTGGTGGTATTGGCACATTATAGTGGACAAAGAGGTTAAATCGAACCTTCTCTGAGAC